TACAGGCTGGGAACGTTTTGGTCCATTTGCTTTTTGTTGTGAGGAAGAGGGAAGGGGAAAAAAAAAATGCTGCCGCTTTATTTTATTCTGCTGTTTGTTGGGAAACATCTGAAAGAAATTGAAGGGTTGACTGACAACAAAAGGGTGCTGCATTGGGAGTGGAGCGACACTCTGTAGGGCCCGCCCATCTGCTCGGGGCGGCACTGCTTAAGGATGTGTGGGGCAGCCAGGACCGGGTTCCTGTTCTGGTTCTAGTTCTGGTCCAAATGTGACAAACGGGAAAACAGGTTTGAGATGGCAAAAATTTGGACTTCCATTCAGCCTACAATCCATTTTCTATTGTTCTTGTCCCTCATTCAGGGTCAGGGGTGAGCTGTTGTCTATCCCAGTTGACTTTGGGCATGAAGCTGTGTACACTCTGGACTTGGGGGAGGGGGGGCGGGGTCAGCATGCCGACCAGAGTGGACCGAAATAGGGATGCTTCATTTCTTTTCACGTATATGTAGCAGATTTTACAGACCTCTGATTGACTGGATTGGATCGACAAATATTTTGCATTTTGTGCTCATTCGGCGGTGGGTTGCAATGTCAGAATTTGCCGATTGATCGATGATGTCATTGATTGGATCCGCAACATAAGACATGACAGCAAACACAATTTGAGTCACCGCAGGGATGTTCTGTGCTGCCGTCGTTAATAATCCGTACTTTCTCATCGTATTTTGTTTCTTTATTTTTTTCAATATTTACAAATAATTTGGGGGTTTCAGTGTGGGAGGAGTGGGGTCGGAATTTGAATTAACGATGATGAACTGAAAAGCCAACATCCATCCATGTATAAGGGTCGCAAGTGCTTTATGGCCCGAAAAATACGATATACGTAAATTATTCGTGAGCCAGGCCGGTCCCCAAAAAAAGCCCTCCCCTTCTCGGGTCTTCCTCCATAACAGCGTGGGGCCTTTCAGAAGCTCCCCCCCCTAATCCAGCTAATCTACCACACTGATCTTTGAAGGTGGCCTAGCCTGACCCGGGCCTGTACGCCACCAGAAGACAACAGAATAGAATAAATTGCATCTGCCTCTTATATATGTATATATTTCCTTCAGTTTGGGAAATCTAAGCTTTCAGGGAGTACGGAAGGGTCATGACGAGAGGAAGTGACCCGAGTAGCTCGAGTCCAACATTTACATCGGGCCACACATGTTCATCCATACATTAGGTCTGTATGCCTCAAAGTCATGAAGTCACGTCAGGGCTTGTTTTGACATTTCTCATCACCCTTTCAGTGTTGTAACTCTCTGGTAGAGACGGTGAAAGACTGACGATGTCATTCCAAGGCAGGTTATATGGCTTTTCTTTATTTTTTTTTTAAATTAATCTTTAACTGCGCCGCCGACCACCGACAAACAGTTGAATTCCCCTTGTAGTAAAACAAGCATCCACATGGGCCTTAAAACCCCCAAGTCTCCTCACTCAAAGGTGTTTTTGCGCTTTAATAGCCTCTGAGGAGAACATTTTCCAAGGAACGGTCTCTTTAAGGTTGTGGTCCACGGGTTGAGGGGGGCGGGATGCGGAGGGGGGGTGGGGGGGGCACCACGGTGAAGACAGACGAGAGGAGACTCAAAGAAAAGACAAGTGGTCCATCTGGGGCCGAGCAGGAGTGAGCGAGCGTGGTGGTTTGTGAAGTTGAGGTGTTTGGGGCCGGACCTGGGGAAAGAGAGAGAGAGAGAAGGAGAGGGGAAGGCGGATCGGGGCCGCCTGGGTGGTCCAGATGGGAGGAACGAGACACAAATAGCTATAATTTACTTCAGGAGGCCTGTAATTACAGAGCCAGAGTCTCTCTCGCCGAAGCCACCCAGTTCCTGTTGGGATCAAAACCCCGACGTTGTAGAGGTTAACATGTGAAACGTCAAAAAAGGTTTTAACAGATGTCAGTGGAAGAGGTTCCACTTTGTCTTGGGAGGTAGCCATAGGTCTCAGTCGCCATTTGAATCTTTTGCTTTGGCGTTCATTAATTGCATCATGAAGCAATTGAGGCATAAATATTGCTTCAATCGTCGTTTTCTGTCGAAAGCAGTGAAATCTTTTAAGATCGTCTGTTAGATCTTCACAATGACACAACTTTTCCTTGGTGATATTATTCTGCTCAGTGTAAGATTGCTGTGGAAATAGAAGTTCAGAACATTCGGAAGGGAGTCTCCTGCATCGTTCAAAAATCATATTTTGAAAAAACAAACAAACAAAAAAAACATTTAGTTGTTGAAGATCTGTCTGGGATACCTGCTTCTGATTGGGGCTCATTTGGGCAGATTCCCTAAAATACAATACAAGCCCTGCCTGCTGTTTGCTCAAAATGGCTGCTTAAAACCAAAATGGTCAACTTCCTGTGTATTCCCGGCCACAGGTCTGTGAAGCATTTTGGTGTGTCCCGTTGCGATGGGCATGTTTGCCCAATTTCATGTTGATTGGTGAAATAGGTGAGAGGGGTTGATTAATTATTTTTTTTTCTTCCAAGGGGGCACCACTCAGGGGTCATTTTTGGGACCCCTACAATTTTAACCAGGATCCGCATATCTGAAAAAAGTTTTGAGGTTTTTGAGCATTAATCCCTCCAGCCCCCCCAAAAAAGGCATCAGACGAATAATAAACGATTTCACGATGGCTTTCACACCACCAAAACGAGGCAATTTCAATGATAATATAAGGATTAATAATAGATCCAGTTCTCCCTGTGTGAGCGCCAATTAGACCAAATGTGATCTGTGAGGAAATGACCTAAACTTTCACTGTTGCCGTTCTCTCCAAATGAAAACATCTATGTCAACATTGGGAGGAATGTCCATTTGGGGGTGGGGATGCACGGAGCTCGACTCCAGCGACTGCAAATAAACGCGGTGATGCGATATCCTCCAGCCCCGCTCGCACCGAAGGTAATTAAAGCCTCGAAAGTGCGGCATAGGAATATTGGAACGTACTCCCCTCCCCGAGGTCCAACTTGATCTCACACGTTCCTCATTGTTTGTTTTTTCTTTTGCTCTCCATCAATTACAGGCGGCATGGGGGAGGTGCGCAGCACACTAGTGTACAGTCAGCCCTCATTTATTGCACAGACACGTTCCTGGTGAAAATGAGCAATATAGAGAGACCAAATCTGCATTAATAGTGAGACATAAACATAAAAAACAGAGCATACAACTACCTTATACTCATTGGCTCAACGTCTTACTACCGTGAAGGCGCGCTACCCTCACTTGCTTAAAACTGTAGCCCACTATTGCAAGGAGTTAGGCGATACATGCCCAGGATTGAATGCAAAGCCGTGAAAGTGACTACAAGAGTGACAAGAGTTAGAATTAAGGAGGAGCTACTTTTTTTTTCCAAAGCTTCCCACATTGCCCTCCTCTCCTCAATCTCCTCCCGGCATTGTCATGTAGCGGGACAACGAGAGAGAGAGGGGCAGACGGGCCCTCTGTGATCCGGCGCGGCATGTTTCATGTCCACTTGGCACAGGCACAGATCCCCCCCCGGCTGGCAAACTCTTTTCAGGGCAACCTCCTGTAATTAGGAGGCTGGAGCGTATATAGCGCGCGCGCGCACACACACACACACACACACACACACACACACACACACACACAGCATTCCTCTTCCCCTCTTTCATCCCCTTGCTCGTCTCACTCCCCTCTTCATCGGTGTGTCTCCGACACGGCGTCTTTAATCAAATCTATTTACTTGACTTTTTTTTGCCTTTATGTCTTTCATCCTCAACTTCTGTGGGCAGCAGTCTACAGTATGCAGGCTATGAGGGGCACCCATTGGAGGACCTTCTTTTTACAACTGACACACACACACACACACACGCTATCGGTATTGACCCCGATTATTCCAAAATATGGGATACTCGTGAATGGTGGCGATACCAGCCACCGATACTTATGGCAAGCAAAGCCTGGTACCAAGTAAGTTCCCCCATCGGCAGTAGCTGGCGCTACACTGCGGCAATTTTGACATATCGGCAAATCACCGTGTGTCAGAAAGAAAAGGTTCTTTGCTAACAATTACCTGTAATTGTGTTAATTGAAACTTTAGGTCTCAAAAGTACGAGTGGTATTGGTACTCTGTATCTGTGAACACAGATACTCTGTGTACCCCATATTTTGGAATAATTGGGTCAATACCGATGGTGTGTGTGTGTGTGTGTGTGTGTGTGTGTGTGTGTGTGTGTGTGTGTGTGTGTGTGTGTGTGTGTGTTCAATATTTTGGGACTGCCCGGACCAGTCCAGAGTGTACCCCGCCTTTCGCTTGAAGTTAGCTGGGAAAAACTGCATCACACCCTTGACCCGAATGAGCAATAAGCGGTACAGAAAATGGATCGGTGGATGTTTTGGGACTTTTTTTTGTTTTTTATTAATCATAATTAATTGGAAGTTTAGTTTTTAGGTTTTGCAAGTTCCTCATTGTAGGTGAACAATGGATAAAGACAAATGAGATGATTTTTTTTTTTTTTTAATGTATCTGAAGTAGATGATTGTATCTGCCAGGCTGAGTGGGAAGGTGAAGAGAAGCAGGTGATTGGGGGACTTTTTTTCGTTTTTCTTTCTTTTTTTTTTTTTTTTTTAAACAGGGCACATCTGTTTGACAGAGGGAGCCAATGTGAAGCTGCGTTAGTCATTTCTCTTGGCCAGACGCTGCCTTGTGTGAAGTGCCTTCAAAACCAACACTGGCGAGTGCCAAGGGCGTTGCTCGATATTCACGTGTGTGTGTGTGTGTGTGTGTGTGTGTGTGTGTGTGTGTGTGTGTGTGTGTGTGTGTGTGTGTGCGTGTGTGTGTGTGTGTGTGTGTGTGTGTATTCATGTGCAAAATATATGAACACACTTTTGTCCAAAAGGGGCAAATGTGTAACATTGGCAAATGTGTAACATTGATGGATGCCCACAGTGAAAGGTGAATCCAAAAGACAAACTGTTGATTTAAAGGATCCTTTTTTTTTTTTTTTAAAGCTGGTAGCCGGGTGAGCCAGGAGCTTCGCTACACCAGGGAGAAGCAAGGCGAAGAGTCCATATTTACCTCACAGATGCTCATCCAGACACCCAAAGAAGAGGGCACCGACATACTTACCCAGGAGGCATTGCTGGTGCACATGGAAGCCGCACTGTCTGCCAGCAAGGTGCAGGTGTCACTGTTTGGAAAGTAAGCGGAGAGCTTTGTGAGCCTCAATCTTTTGTTTTCTTTGATGAAAAAAAAATAGTTGATTTCATTTGTTTCTGTTTGCTTTCATAGGTCGTGGGATCTCAACAAAATATGCTATAAATCCGGAGTCCCCATCATTGAAAATGTCATGATTGAAAGGGTAATTTTCAGCATACTTTCTGATGATTTTGTTCACTTGAATATTTCCTTTGACATGTGTACGTAATGGTTGCTCTTTTCCTCATTTCCCAGATGATTGACAAACTATTCCCTTGTATGATAATCACCCCGTTGGACTGTTTTTGGGAAGGGGCCAAGCTACAGGGAGGGTCCGCCTATTTACCGTAAGTGTTGGGATGGTCAAGCCCCTCATGTTTTGAAACACAGTTTTTACTGGTTCTCTTTGTCATAGACAGTTATTGCCTGAATAATACATTCGAGAGAAAGGATCTTTTTTTTGTTGGGGGGGGCGCATTTACATTAACGAGTGGCATCAGCGGATGAAGCCTTTTTTAATCAATGCAACAGATAAGACGGTGAAGCGCCCGTTTCTCTGTAATTTTTCGATTGCACATTCACAATAATGAGCAGCCAACGGGACCGAACATTTTAACTAACGCGAACGAACAATTAACTCTGCCGAAGTTTGCTCTTGAAAGCTTTCACGTCAGTCTCTTAAATATTTTTTTTTGTAATTTTGTGATCAATTTTTAAACATGCTTTTATATGCATGATATGACTTTGCCACGTGAGGCAGCTTCTAGAGATGTCATTGCCGACTTTTAGAGGGTGGGGGGGGGCGTTGTTCATAACTTTTCACCACACATTGGATGGAAAACTACAGTCAGTGGGTGCCATCAACTGACAGCGGCGGTCAGGAATACAGTTTTTTTTTTAGGGCCCGGGGGTTGTTGTAGTTTTGGGGGTATTCAAAAAGAGAAAGTGAGGCGGGCGAGGGAGAGATGGTGGGCCGGGTAGAGAGAAGGAGGGCGGGATGGCGGTGGCAAGGGAGCCCTTTGGGTCAGACAATGGTAAGCATTCTTTCAGTTTACGACTGAGTGTCCATCAGTGCAGGGGCCCCGGTGGAGGGAGGGAGGGAGGGAGGGCGTTAGGGTTGGGAGTTGGCGGTGCCCCGGCTTTGTCAGCTCGCGGCTAACACTCGCCATTCTCATGGTAATGCCCCCGCGCTCCCAGCTCCCCAAGTTGTCCAACAAATAAAATGGGCCGTATTCAAACCTCAAGTCCCTCGAGAAAGACACAGAGAGGCAACAAGACGGTTAACAGTGGAGTCTGGGGTGTATTTTTTTTTTTTTTTATACCCCCTTCTCCAAAAGTTCTCCAAAGCCACAAGTGATATTTCAATTGAGCGCTTCATTTATAAAAGAGCACTATAGGGCTGAGCTTTCTTTGCAAATTTGTTTATGTTCCCCGTCAAGGGCCAACATTGTTATATTCGCCCACTTGGCTCCAGAGGGCCAACCGCTCTGAATGTGCCGCTTTCTGCTTTCGCGGCATCTGTCGTTATTTATTTATTTAGTCGTTATTAATTGGGTTTTTGTGGGGAGGATTTGAGGATGTGGAGCACGGCCTCGGGGTGTTCACTTGAACTAAAAACAACCCCCCCCCCTCAAAAAAAAAGGCAGAGAGAGAAACAAGACCAAAAAAAAAACCCACGAAAACAAAAATGGGCCATGCTAGGTTCAGTCATTGAGTATCTTGAATCTCTTTCACACACATTTTGTTTGGCTGTTCTGCAGAAATTGCACCGAGACAGAATGCGGATCGACCACAAGTCTTAACATACTGAGGTCGAATCGTCCATCCAAAATGTTCAATGGCAATTCTCTGGCACATTAGGTAACAAAACAATATATTTAAACACACACAAAGTGGCACAACAGAATGATTGAAAAATTGATGACAATTTTGAAGGCGACCATACACGGGCATGGTGAAAATTTTAAAAACATGTACACCAGATGATGAAAATAGAAACGAATTCAAAATTAAACAATGTAGGGAGTTGACACAAGATCAAAAAAATGAAAGCAAGTCAATGACAACTACACCTTCGACATGAAATGCAAGGAAAGTTCCGTTCGGCGCTGAACTGAACTTTTGACTGTGTTTTTACCTCGCCGCACATAGGTGAAACATATCAAGATGTTCGGGAGGCCGACGTAATTGTTATGACTCGGTGCAGGGCAGTGAGGAATGGAAGCCACCATGCCTTCCCCCCTGGGCATTGTGGCGGTGTGAAATGGGATAATAAAGGCCATTTCATCCTGTATCTGCCGAGGGGAGGGGAGCGTTCGAGCGCACTCAAAGAGTTTTTCCTTAAACAGAGTGCACAAAGCGTGTTGGCTTTATAGCTCTTCGGGATGTGTTTGGGTTTGGTGTTGATCGTCGGCGGTTGCTCCCGCAGGGGTATGCCAGACATCCAGTGGATGAATCTGGATCCAGTCAAGCTCATGGAGGAACTGAGTCAGTTCACGTCCTTGGAAGGATTTCAGGAGATGTTGGACAAAGCCCAGGTGGGATTTCGCTTGACTTATAAATAACGCCGTGACTGGTTCGATGCATTGACTCTTTTTGTGCGATTTTTTTTTTTGCAGGTGGGCCACGCCTACATGAACCGGCCTTGTCTGGACCCATCGGATCCCGACTGCCCTCTCGGTGCTCCCAACAAAGAACAATTAGAAGTATGGATGCGCCCGACACCCCGGGAGGGAATACGGTCCGCCGTCCCAAGTGGCTCACCGTGTTTCTTTGTCCCTTGCAGTCTCCTGACATCGCCGGACGCCTCCAAGGCGGTTGCCACGGTTTTAGCCGGAAGTTTATGCACTGGCAGGAGGAGCTGATCCTGGGAGGGCGTGTGAAGAACACCCAGGATGCTCTGATGAGGTAAGCTTTGGCTTCCTCCTTCTTGGAGTTGTTATTTTTAGGCGCAGGTGCAAAAAGCCTGGCAGCCGTGCTACGTCGACCCCCCGTAATAATCGTCGAGGGCACATGCTTTGAATGTTTCATAACCAAGTAGGATCCTGCTGCAGCGTAGGCAAATTGAAGAAGGTAATGCCCTTGCACGTGGGCAAGGAGAGCCACAGTAAATGATTTCTAATGTAAAATAATTGCCTTGTCACAATGAACGTTGGGCAACATTGACGACTCCCAAAAAAAAAAAAATCCCCATTTTTTTTCTCAAGCTAGTCTGTCAATAAAACACTCTCTCTTTTCGTTTGACACGGTCTGGTCTTAAAAAGCGCGCTGACTGCGTTGGGTCCGGGCCCAGAATGCGACCCACGCAGGCCCATTGAGCAGAGTCGTGAATGAAAGGATTCCCCGTTCCGTTCGCGAGAGAGTCACACTCTCGCATTTGATTTACGATCATTTTCTCGAGCAGCGCCGCCGCTCGCCGCCGCGCTTGTGCCAAGAAAACCTTTTTTGTCATCTGGGATGGTAGCCCAGACAGCAGTGGACTGACCAGATAACACTCACTCCTGCTTTTCAAGTAGCGCTTGTAAACTTGGGGGAACAATAGTGAGGCCAAATTCAATGTCTTGTGCTTTTTTTGATTTCATTTTGTTTTCCCCTGCAGCGCGGAGGCTCTTCAAACCATGTTCCTATTGATGAGCCCCAAGCAGCTGTACGAGCACTTTAAAGATGACTACGAGATCCACGACATCAACTGGAATGAAGAAAAGGCGACGGCCATCCTGGAGTCGTGGCAACGCAAGTTTGTGGAGGTAAGTAAAGATTTTGCTTGAACTCCCAACGATCAAACTTTTTTTTTCCAACTTTGGAGGTACCACTGCGACTCCAAACAAATGACCATTTGGCTTTTCTTTTTTTTTGGGGGGGGGATACACTTCAAACCACAGTAGCGTTCATGTAAACGCTGGCCTCACTGCAATCATACAATGAAGAGATATTTCCATGTTCTTACGCACACTCTCACTCGTGTTGGAATTTCGTCAGCTTCCTTGTAAGCAAATCGCACTGCAGTGTGTGTGTGTGTGTGTGTGTGTGTGTGTGTGTGTGTGTGTGTGTGTGTGTGGCAGCCCAATCATCTCTCACTGTCAGAGGCCTCGTTATGGGAACAAGCTGTTGCTGTGATAGCTGACACCCACCACTGTGGGGCTAAGCGGAGTGAGTGGGAGGGCGAACGCATGACGGGGTTTTTTTTGGGGAGGGGGGGTAATTCGCTATCCCGGTGTGAATGCAACAAACAGCAAAATGTAGTTGAAATTGTGATGCCGATGATATATTATCAATTAAAAAAAAAAAAAAAGCTGAGTCGCGTTCATGTCAGCAGCCTCCTGAGTCATGTGATCCCCATTGCTTTCACCTTTGACATTGCAACCTCTGGCATCTGTGCTCATTACTCCTCGGTTGTCATACGTACACACACGAGCACATGTGAAAACACACGCACGCACGCACGCATTCGTGTTCTCTTTCAAAGGGCTTTTTCAGTTTGGTGGTTGCAGGGGGGGGGGGGCTCTTAAATACGGCGGTGTTGAAAGGGACATGCAAGCACTGATGGTACTGGAGTCTTTCATGTTAAATAAACAAGGCACAGAATGTATGTAATGGCATCCAAGTGGCTGCTTTTCCTTCTCATGTCTGTGATGCTAATAGCATTTGGACAGGCTGACGTGAGCCAAACATGAGCTTTGGAAGGCACTTTACGCGGGCCTGCGCCGATTTACGGCTTGTTTATCCCTCAGGTGGTCCACCAGAGTATCCCGTCCAACTCGAGCCAGTCCATCCACGCCTTCTCCACCACCACGCTCAATGACATCATGAAATCCTTCTCCGATGTCAGCGTCTTACGGATCGCCGGAGGCTACCTGCTCATGGTGAGCGCGGCAATCGATTTGACCGTCAATTCGGACACCGCTAAGACCTCGCCGTCCGTCGGATTGTCCGAGATTTGAACGCAACGTGCGGTTCTCCCCAGCTGGCGTACGCCTGCGTGACCATGCTGAGGTGGGACTGCGCCAAGTCCCAGGGGGCCGTGGGACTGGCCGGCGTGCTGCTGGTGGCTCTGTCGGTGGCCGCGGGGCTGGGCCTCTGCTCCCTGCTGGGACTCTCCTTCAACGCCGCCACCACTCAGGTAACAACGTGGACAACTCATCCTTTTATCCCGACGGCAAAAAGAGGTCCGCGTCTCTTTAGATTTCAGTGGCGAGTTGCGCGATTGGTCCTTTGGCCTTTGACGGGGACTTCATCCAACTTTTAATGCTGTTGCAATCGCCATGTTGTAATCGTAGAAACTATCCGTACGATACAAAAAAAAAAAAAAAGTGCTTCGGCTTGACTGTTCGATGTCAAGGCTGGGTTTCGATGCCGCCCACTCTGCCTGACCGTTTGTGTTTCTTATCCCAGGTGCTTCCCTTCCTGGCACTTGGAATCGGAGTGGATGACATGTTTCTTTTGGCTCACTCCTTCACAGAGGCCGGGAGTAACATTCCCTTTAAGGTACCTTCCCTTTCCAATTCTCTTCTCTCCTTCCCTCGTCTCTCTCCTCTTCTCCCTCTAAAACGTGTTCTCTCTCTCTACCAGGAGCGGACCGGAGACTGCTTGCGTCGCACGGGCACCAGCGTGGCTCTGACTTCCATCAACAACATGATTGCCTTCTTCATGGCCGCCCTTGTGCCCATCCCGGCCCTGCGAGCTTTCTCCTTGCAGGTATCCGGTTTCTGTTTTTTTTTTTTTTTGGTTTTTTTTTCCCTTCCTTCTGCAAAGAAATAAACAATTGCACCGCGAGAGCCCCCGCGCCTCACTTTGAAAATGAAAGGGATAACTTAAGAGAGGTGACATTTATTCGGAGCAAGAGGAAAGCCTTTGTTCCCATTTTTTTATAGCCATCGCGCCAACAGCACCGTGTTTTTTTTTTCTTTCCCCCCCCCCTCTCGAAACGTGTGTATGTGCGCAACGTGGACGAGTCAGAGCAAAGCCGGGAGGAGACGGAGAGCGAAGCGGAGGGGAGCTCTCAGATCCGTATATCACTGGGCCGCGTTTAGCTCAGACTCGCGGCATATGCGTATATTTTCACACGCATCTCCGCGCGCGCACAAAAACACACACACACACAAACACACGCACGCACTCCCTGCTTCTTTGTTCGTTCTCTTTTCCCCCCAAAAATTTTCGAGCGTTAACCTTCTGGTCTGTTTCTCCTTGCCTGGCCGGCCTAATGTTTCTGGCCTTTTGTTTTGTTTTGGGCAAAGATAACTTGTTTTCGACGCCGGCGAGCGTGTGTACCCAGCCAGGCTCAAATATTTTCTTTTTAGGAAAGTGCACCACTCATAGTTTGTCTGGTTGTGCTCCACAAACACTCATAATGGAAAAAGAAAAATGTACAGTCAAAGGAAAAAAAAAGCAAGTTTCACTTTTTGTGTGTTAGCACCGATGTTTGGAACCATAATTACCACATCATATTACATATTTGACCTTATATTTGGTTATGATCATTTTTTCTGTCTTGTTGTGTAAAAAAATTATGACATGCAATGACTTGGAGGGTCCGGAACTGGCCTGCGGGCCTCGAGTTTGACACCAGCAATGATCAGAGATGCTGGAAAAAAAAACAACTCACCTCACTCCTCCTGAACTCCATAATTTCACATGATGTTCTCGATCTCATTTTGTTTCTTCCTTCCTTCCTTCCAGGCGGCCATCGTGGTGGTGTTTAACTTTGCTATGGTGCTGCTCATCTTCCCCGCCATACTCAGCTTGGACCTCCACCGGCGCGAGGACAAGCGCTTGGATGTCCTGTGTTGCCTGTACAGTCCTTGCGCCGACCGGGTCATTCACCTTTCCCCGCACGAGTTGTCGGACGCCGCCGAGCAGGCGCCGGCCTCACACACGCGCCAGTACGCCGCGGGCTCCACCATCACCACCAGTACTCAAATCACCACCACGGTGCAGGCGTTCACGCAGTGCGACGCCGCCGGGCAGCACATCGTCACCATCCTGCCGCCAACCTCTCAAATCTCCACCAGCCCGACTTCCATCATCCTGTGTCCCACTTCGCATTCACAAGGTAAGAGGATTCAAGTTATGACTGGAAGATGCTGTTTCGGAGTCGGCGAAAATAATGACTCGGTCACGCGAACCGATGTAACAATCGTGTTTTTCCCTTTCTAGCTATCACGCCGACACCCACTACCCCCGCCCAGGATCTCTATGACTCCCAGCTCTTCACTCCTACCTCCAGCTCCACCCGGGACCTCCTAGCCCAGGTGGAGGACTCCAAATTGGGCAAGAAGTGCGTCCCGCTCCCGTTCCTCAATTGGAACCTGTCCCACTTTGCCCGGGAGAAATACGCCCCGCTTCTCCTGAAGCCCAAGAGCAAAGCCATCGTGGTCATCCTCTTCCTGGGCCTCCTTGGCCTCAGCTTGTACGGGACCACCAGGGTGCACGACGGCCTCTACCTGACCGACATTGTGCCGCGCGACACCAAGGAATACAACTTCATCGATGCCCAGTTCAAATACTTTTCCTTCTACAACATGTATCTGGTCACCATGGACGGATTTGATTACGCCCGCTCACAGAGACTTCTGATCCAGCTACACAACGCCTTCAACTCTGTCAGATCCGTGGTCCGAGACAGCGACGGCAAACTGCCACGTATGTGGCTGCACTACTTCCAGGACTGGCTTAGAGGTACTTTTTTTTTTTTTTATGTCGGGGGGGTCAGGGAATAGATGCTGAGAATGGGCATGACAATGGCGATTTTACCCCATGGTGTCCAAGTGCTGAGCACGTCTGCCTCACACTCCACCAACAAAGATAAATGTTAGTTTTTGGTTCAACGTCGGCGTGCTTTCAAAATTAAGACCCCCCCAAAAAATTGGTCGAGTAGCAGTGAGCATGCTTGCATCACTGTCAAGAGATTCGCTTTTCCATTCACATTTGTGGCCTTCCTGTGTGGATTTGGTATGTTCTCTCTGGGTGCGACGTCTTCCTCACACAGGCTAAATTTGAAGACTCCAAATCGGTTTGAACGTGCGTGCGAATTCTTGTTTGTGTATATGTGCTGGCGATCGATCCAGGGTGTACCCCAAAAAGTCAGTTGCGACAGGCTCCAGCTCACATCTGACCTAATGTGACGTGTGACAAGCGCTATAGAACATGCTTGTATGGAATCAAGAGCACAGAGTGCGAGTGGTGTCAGTTGGCGAGGGGGAGGAGGCCAGCAGGTTTTTTTTTTCAGGTGTACTAAAGCCGGGAGGGAATGAATGACCATTGAGGATGGTTGGGG